AATTCAGATTGATGGGACAAAGATCTAAAACTTAAGTATTCACACTGAAATATCTAGAGAGACCTAATCAGCAATATATCCATTTTTATGTAGTCCTTTTTCACAAGAATTATAGTGTCTTGAGTCTCAGGAGTGAAAAATTCCCAATTGAGTCAACATTTAAGTAAGAGTATTCTTTCTATTCAAGTTGAAATTTAACTAAGATCTTTGGAATTAAACTATTGTTGCTGCAGAATGTACTATGAAATATGTAGTGACTATAAATTCTTGTTTTATTTAGTAATTGTTGGAAGCGTTTAAGTCTGTAATCTTTAAACAATCCCATAGCACTTTTTGCCATAAGCAAGCATGTTGGACCCTCAGTCCAATCTCTATTGCAGTTGGGTAACTCCGATTGCTCCTTGTGGGATTGGAGCAGTGGTTTTGAAACTTTTTTTCTTGTGACACAGTTGAAGAAAATTGTTGATGCCTGTGACCCAACATAATTATATCTTGAGTAGAGCAAGGTCTATGGGGTTTGGAGCCAGGATGGGCTTGGTATGTGGAGGGAGGAGTTAGCAGTGCAGCAGGGGTGCTAAGGCAAGCTTCCTGCTTGTCCTGGCACTGTAGACCTCGCTGCGCCCTAGAAGTGGACAGCATCAGTTCTGATTCATAGACAGAGGTGCTCAAGTGGCTCTGTGTGCTATTTTTGCCCACAGGCACCCACATCCAGAGTCAGTGCCTAGAGTGCAGGCAGTACAGGGAGCCCTGTCCAGGCTCACCTAGGACCTGAACCAACTGCTGGCTGCTTCTGGGGTACAGTGGGGTCTGCAATGCCAGGACAGGGAGGGAAGACTCCCTTAACACCTCTTCTGGTCACCTGGTCATCCTACATCAACATGACCCAATGCCTGAGGTTCCACGACCCAGAACTGGGCACAGCCCTTAGTTTGAAAATCACCGAACTAGATGTCGGGAGAAGGCTCACTTGCTAATTGCACCGGTCTGTTCATTCCCTCTGAAGCATCTGATATTGGCCATTATCAGAAGACCAGGGTACTGGGATAGATGGACCATTGGTCTGACCCAGTATGGTTGTTCCTATGGTTTTATTTGGAGAAGGTACAATACTCCCTTTCCATCATGAGCTGTGGCACGTAGTTTTTCTGGATGGTATTTGAAGACTTCTGCTTGTACTTCAAATGTGGTTGCATTTCAGTAGGCAAACCGTCCGTACAGTATATCATTGTACATCAATCAGTAATGCACTTCGGGGTCTTTGGATGTAATTTGCTGTATAAATATCAGTCATTAGCTTCACTAGTTTATTTTTATAAGGCATTATCTGTTTATCTCAATTAGAATTGAGACATTTTTACCTCTCCTAAAGGTTTCTCTGCACATTGCTGTGGAACATTAATTTTGTAATATAGCATAATCCTTAACTCATAAAGTAACTTTTGAATGGGAAGTCTTGCAAATCGAGAATGAGTAATGATGTTTTAAACCTATTCCATTTCTGAAATACTGTGGAAAAAAATCAGCTGAACTCTTTCTTGATTGAGACTTAATTTTAGATTTCAGAATAATTCTTTGTTTACTAACGAATTTCAAAGTTGGGTGTGTATACCATGCTCTCCTTACTATAAAGTCTTATTCTTAGAGTTTGGGGAACTGTTTTCCCCCATTAGAGAAACATTCAGGAGACTTCTTTTATCCAGTTTTTAGTGGGTATGAAAGGCAAAGATGAAGCTATGGCTATTGGAGGACACTGGTCCCCATCACTGGATGGACCTGATCCAGAAAAGGACCCCTCTGTGCTGATTAAGACTGCTATCCGTTGTTGCAAGGCTCTAACAGGCATTGACTTAAGTGTGTGCACACAATGGTAAGTACCATTCTCCAAAACATAATATAGAAATCAATGTTTTTTTTATTGTTCTTAGAACTGTTTTTGAAAACCTAAACCCTGTTTTCTTTATTAGCAGCCTGTGGTGGTGCAGGTAAACTACTCAAAGGGATGTTCTCTTTTGTAACAAAAGGTTGAGTGGTGCCAAATGTGTTCAATAATGCATTAAGAACTAATTACAAATTCTGAATTTTGTACATGATATGCTATAATTTTGTAATGGTTGTACGTTGAAAATATTTTCCATTTCATGCATAGCTGGAGAAGATCGTCAAGAGAACTTCATTTCATTATTCTTCTGTTATAAATAATTAGCTGTTGGTTATGTAGCCATATTTTTTCTTAATGAGTTTATTTGTCCTGTGTTGTCTAACATATGCACTATTTTATCAATTTATGAATGAAGTTTCTACTTTATTTTAAATTTAAAAATGGTTCAATTTTTCCTTTTGAGGATTATATTTCCTAACAAAAGTTGCAAAGTAAATCACGTTACCTATAACAGTCAATATATTATTCACTCATTTCCATTTAATCTTGCAATACATTGTACAAATGTGCCAAAAGAGAAAATATGGCTTTCATAATTTTTTCTTTAGATAAACTTCAGATTCTTGCAGCAAAGTTTCTTTACTTGATGTGCTACAAGTGAACTAGGCTCTTTAAAATGTATTGTAGAATTTTTTTTCCAACATGCTTCTTCCCTTGCAACAGGTACCGTTTTGCAGAGATTCGCTACCATCGCCCTGAGGAGACCCACAAGGGGCGTACAGTTCCAGCTCATGTGGAGACAGTGGTTTTATTTTTCCCGGATGTTTGGCATTGCCTTCCCACCCGCTCAGAGTGGGAAACCCTCTCCCGAGGATACAAGCAGCAGCTGGTCGAGAAGCTTCAGGGTGAACGCAAGGAGGCTGATGGAGAACAGGCACTGAACGCTAATCCCTTTTTCTATTTCTGCTTCTCACAGGCACAGGAACACAGGCACAAAATGCACACCACATACTACACAACAAACATACATAGGAGGAACATAACTGGTAACAATGACTGGTAAACCAGCTTTCAGCAGTGTAGTGAATGTTGTTTTTTATTTCAGCTAGTATACTAACTTTAAATGTGTGTGCTGATTCCACAAGTGAAAGTAAATTGTGCTTTTGATGCGCAGAACTTTGTTTTTATCTTAGAACTAGTTGCTGGAATCTGAGACCAGTTGAGTGAGATTCAGTATTAATTAGCAGCCTTAAACATTTTGCCATTTTCTAAAATTTCTAAATTTTCTTTGGTGGCCTATTCTAATAATGGTATTTGAAATTGGATAAGAATTAGTCTAAAAAGTTTGAATTTCAGGCCAGGTATCTGATCTGCCTCTTGGGATATTGAAAGGTCTGACTAAATCAAGAGTGACTATGAATGTTTGGAAATTGGGGCAAGATCACACACTGTTTGGTTACTGAAGACCAGCAGTGTCTGTGTAATCCCCGACATTCTTTGTGGTGTTGTTTATCACCTTTTGTGTTTCACAGATCTGGCTTTTATTGGCTGATGAGTGGCACTGTGATCAGTTAAGAAGTGGTAGAATGTGTGTATGTGGACTTGTCTAAATGATAACTTTAGGAGAAGACTGTCTGAAACATTTGTGACCTTGCACAGATCAGCAACAGAATTTAAAAAAAATAAATAAATTACTCTTAAACTTTCTGAATAATGATTTCTTAATTTTATTTACCAGGATGAAGAGGAAAAGGATGATGGGGAAGCTAAAGAGATCTCCACTCCTACCCATTGGTCTAAACTGGATCCAAAAACCATGAAGGTAACTGTTTCTTTAATTATACAGTATTTTTTAAAGAACATTATTGATATAAAGAGCCAAATCTGATACATTTTTTCCAGCAAACTTTTGAAACTAGCACAGTTTTTTGAAAGTTAAACAATGCTTCTGTGTTTTATCATCTTTTTTTAAATGTGATATACCACTATACAAGTGTTAGTGTCTATTATGATTCCAATGAAATAGCTGTAACTATTTCATTGGAAGTGTTCAAACTGTGTACAATTTAAATACATCAATTACATTTATTTTATTTAATTTAGAGTAAATTTTCTATCGTAATCTGGCCTATATACTTGCACTCAAGTGAGATTTCCTACTCCTGTGTCTAGAAGAAAATTAATTTAGGAAGACAAATAGAGTTCTTCATATTTCCTATGAAATATTCTATTTTTGGTGAAAACAGATGTAAGAAGCAATGCCTATATCTTCCGGTGGACCCTTACATAATTTAACTTTCATATACAAAATTATACTGCAGCAGATATAATTAAACAAAATTACATGGTAGATATAATAATGAAAAATAAATTAAATCTCCAACTTTTTGTTTACCACTACCAAAATACCTTCTAGAAAAAGCAGGGAGGCTAATGCTTCGGGGGAATAAAAAAAATATATATAAGAAATAAATGTGTTTTGCCAATAAAACTTTTTTCTTTAGTTTGTTCAAATGTGGATGAAAAAGTATTTAATTAGTTAATAGACTATAGGTAATGTTTGCATTTCTGACTTGAGCATTATTTTATTGCTATGGCACTGATAAGAACATACTGCTTACACAACTTCTATTTACTAGGTAAATGATCTTCGCAAAGAATTAGAAAGTCGAACTCTTAGCTCCAAAGGATTGAAATCCCAACTAATAGCCCGACTGACAAAGCAACTGAAAGTAGAAGAACAAAAAGAAGAACAGAAGGAGTTAGAGAAATCTGAAAAAGAGGACGAGGAGGAGGAGGATAGGAAATCTGAAGATGACAAAGAGGTCGGTATTGTGATATATTTGGTTTAATTTCATCTCAGTAAACCCAACTCAAAATATAAATTGGCTGAAAAGAGATATGCCTGAATTAAGCAATTCAGACCATTAAAAAAACTGAGGGCATCAGAAACAGCAAATTATTTTGTAAGATTTTTAACTTGTTTAACATTAAGAACCTAAGGGAGTCCAAGTATATTGGCTATACACAATTTTTCACTTTTGGGATAAACTCTTCTGGTGCTATAAGCTGAACCATTCTGAAAAATGTTCAGAATTAATCCTATAAAAAGCTACAGGACCACAACTAATTCTGTTTCTTTCCATTGTTAACTTCAGACTTATGGTTATCATTCCTTGTCTTGAAGATTAAATTTAACTTTTTGCCCACTCATATTTTTTTTTAAATTTTCATCATGTGGTATAGTAATAGTTTCCATATTTGAAATGTAGCTTTATTCTGGTTTTTTTTTCTGTTCCCTGTGATGCTGCGCAAATTGTCTTTAGTTGGCATTTGGCCTCAGCAGTGAGGGCAATTGCAGTTGATCTAAATAAAAAAAAATCTGGCTTTCAGAAGTGAGCATTCTCATTCCTCTGGGATGCCATTCTGATGACAAAATTTGCTGACTGATGTGTTGGATGGAAGGCTTTTCCTTGATGCATTATTCCTTGTTCCCTGCTTCTATGCCTTGGTGCTAAAGGTAATTCAGGATTGGTGCCAAATAATTGAAAAGAAAACTAAAAAAGAT